CAGCACAATTAGGCAAGCTACTCAGTTGCTCCAAATATCCATCTCTCTTTACAAAGCGTCATTGAAGCCTGTCAACCTAGTGTTGAAGCATCCAGCACTCTCATCTATGAATGTCATTAGGGTCAGAGGCTTGGCATTTGGTTGATTTCATTGGATGGCTGGGGAACAACACAATCTCACTCAATTAACACTATTCCTTTTTCTTCTTTTCCTCTCTTTAGGCCCCTCATGAAGCTTTTTTCTTCTTTTACTTATTTGGCCATTTATCCTTGCAGGAAATATCTACTTGAGTACCTCCTATGTGCCAGGCCCTGTGCCATGTGCCATATATATATCTGTAACAAACCAGGTAAAGTCCCTTCTCTCAGAGAGTTCCTTGACCTTCTCTTGCATGCCTTTCATCTGAGTTGAAGCAAAAAATAGTGGAAAAACTCCTTAGTTCTAATCAGGGCACCTGTATTTTTGTCCCAATGCTGCTACTAGTCTAAGAGGTAAGTCACTTACCCTGTCTTGATATAATTTTCTTCTTCTGTAAATAAAAGTATTAAACAAGCCTGGCCAGTGTGCTCAGTAGTTGAGCAAGAGCAGTCTCTAAAAGTCTCTTGCACAGGTTTTTCCCAGTAGCTCCTAACTAATCTATCACCCTGCTTTCATTTGCCCCTTTCCTCCCCTACTTTTTTAAAATATATTTTTGTTGATCTGAGAGAAAGAGGAAGGGAGAAGGATAGAGAGATAGAAACATCGATGAGAGAAAAACATTGATTGGCTGTCTCCTGCATGTGGATCAAGCCCACAATACAGGCATGTGCCCTGACTGGGAATTGAACCAGTGACCTCTTGGTTCATGGATTAACAGTCAACCACTGAGCCACAGCAGCAGGGCCCTCCCCACTTTTTATTTTTATTCTAAATACAGCAGCCAGCCTAATCTTATTAAAGTGTTAAGTCAGATCTTGTTACTCCTCTGCTCACATCCCCGCATTCAGAATAAAACCCAAAGTTTATGCCTTGGAGGTAGTAGAGGATCTATCCCCAAACTACTCCTCTATCCTAGGACTCTTCCTTCATTCACTCCACTGGGCATACTGGTCTCCTTGATGTGTCTTGCATATTCTCAACACACCTTCCTCTCAGAGCCTTTGCATTTGTTTTTCCAAGGGAGCTCACCCTTCCCTCCCTGAGGTTTACATGGCTCATTCCCTGACTTCCTTCAGTCATGTGTTCAAATATCTCCTTTTTGGAAGCCATTCCCTGATCTGACCTCCCTATATAAAACTGCCCCTTCATGTCACTCTCTGTGTTTTGTGGCCCTTTACTGTGCTTCTTCTTTTCCATCTTTATGTTTGCCTAATGCAGCATAATTTACTTACTTATCTTATGTCTCCTGCCACTAGAAAATACACTCCATTAGAATAGGGATCTTTACCTTCTTTGGCCTGCTGCCTAGAGCAGTGTCTGACACAGTAAATGCTCAATAAATATCTGTTGAATTAATAAAAGACTGAATCTCCTCTAATAAAATAAGTCTCAGTGTGTGTGTCAAAATTTATTTGTACATAGGAGGATTCAAATCTGGCTACTGGGACGATGAGGGACCAGCCAGTATTGGAATTAAGCTACACAGAATACTTGCCAATAGAAATGGATCAGCAGCAGAAAACAGTCCATCCCCTTCCATTTGGGTTTCTGTTTCATAGCATGATAGTTTCACAATAAGATGAGGCCTGAATACCATTTCTTTTATGCAGCTTCATGGGGTGCAAAGAGTACTGTCCTCATTTGGCTTAGGCCCGGAAAATTTGGTCATTTATCCCACATCATCCAGACTTTTTGAGGCAGAGATACAATAAGAACTTAAGTCCCTGACCTCCAATCCCACAGTTGTTTATTCTCAATAGTGACCTACACAAGACAGGAAGATCTAGGTGTACTCTTTACAGGCAAAAGAAATATGTGAAATATGAGAAATATGTGAGATATTCACAACCATGAGGAGCTTTTCCCATGGAACCTCTGAAGTCTTTGCACATTCCAGGTACTATTTCTCTTACATATTGTCTTATTCTCAATGCTTGGCACATGCTCAATTCATGTGTACTGATTCCATAAAAGTAGCAGCCTACTAGATATAATTATTCTAAGGTAATAATTACTCTCACCTCCTGTAGAGGCCACAACCTCAGAGACATTCACATCCACAAAGAGCAACACCACACTACAATACACACACACACACACACACACACACACACACACATCCTGCAACCCTTGAAGAAGAAAAAAAAGAAAAAGTAACTTCTACACACTGTATTCACATCTGCCTGCACAGGTGCTTCCTAACCAGATGAGAAGCAAGGACAAAGTTGCCAGTTCACAGTTTGCTTTGGTACCTCAAGGGGTACAATGCCTCACAGTTGTGAGTATGTGAAACAGAGTTTATTCTGGTATTATTATTTATTAATTACTGTATTTTCCATACAAACAACTATACACCTACTTTTATGCTTCTGTGGACAGACACCCATTTACAAACACAAATGCACATATGCACTTAACATTCACTTCAGAATTAGGCATTTTGCAAATCACAAATAAATTTATGTACACAGAAATATACATGCTTGTCTAGCCCAAGCATTCTCACAAATGTAAAAACACAAGTACCCAAACACATTCACGAAGATAATGTTTACCTCAAGGTACAACTGTAAAAGTAAATGAGATTATGTGAAGTGCACAATAATACCTGGTACATACAAGGCATGCTAATAAAGGTTAGTGATCGATAGATACATGATATAAATTTGTATCAGACTTACATGAATACCCACCTTCCAAGCAAAATTTTCTTTCCAGTCACTACTCAGAACCTCATAGAAATTCTAAGTAGCTCATTACTTTCTGGTGTGTGGGAGCCAATAAAAAAGGGAGGGATGTGGGGTGTGCTATCACCCTAGGGGCAGGAGGAGGCTGGTAAACAAAGCTTTCCTGGTTGTGTTTTTGTTTTGTTTTGTTTTGTTTGTTTATTTGTTTTCCTGGGGAGAAGGCCTGCACTTGGAGGGAGCTGAACTGTTATGAATTATTCTAGAGAGAACCAGCCTCCAAAAATTCAAAAGAAGGAGTTCCTAGAGCTACTGAATAAGAGGGATACTCGGTAGGATGGGAGGGAGAGACCCCACAGTCCCAGCCCATTCAAATCAGCCAGAAAACCCTTAGAGGCCAGCAATCCATTAGAGCCCGGTAGCTTGGAGAAAATCTGATTAACTCCACCTCCCCAGCTGAGCTCTAGAGTGAAATGTATAGCTGGTTTATGAGACTCCAATAAGGTGGGAAAACAGCAGCAGGAGGAAGGAAAAGCAAAGAGATGGGAGTGGTAAGCACTGTACGTACTGTTTGGCCCCACCATTATTTTGGAGGAAGCCACAGCTCTCTGTGGCTCTGGTTCCCCAGCTTGTAAGATGTAAACGAAACTGTCTCCTGTCTAGTTGGGAGACAGCATATCTTCCTTGTCTTCCAAAAGGGTGCGAGCAGTGAGGCCAGGACTGCTCTCTCTTGATCCTGAAAATTGCTCAGGGAATTTTCCTGCTGCCATGGTCCTGGGGAACGGAGAGGGGGATACCTTCTTTTATCGACTAGGCTTCTTTTCGAAACCTCTCTTTCTCTTTTTTTTTTTTTCTGGGGTCAAATATTATAACTTCAGAGCTTTAAAGAAACTCAAGGACCTGGTTCAATTCTTCCCATTTAAGATGACAAAATGAGCCCAGACGCATGTCTGAACTGAGGCCTGTGGATTTGTTTTATTCACATACAACTACATTCTTAAAAAAACAAGACATTGTTTTTGAGAGACCTGGAGAGACTAACTCCATAACCTCCTCTACCCCACCGTCCCCCTGCAAAGAAGAGGGGAGATGGAATCTCTTCCAGCACTCAAAGCGTTAAACTCAACCCAGAGTCTAACATGCCATTGGCCAAACACTGGGGAAAGATCTGGTTTTTGCAGCCGTTGGCCAATGAGCATCTCGAGTGGGAGGGTTTGAAGATACTAAGGAGTTTTCCCCCCTTTTTTCTCTCTCCACCCCCTCCCATCGCCATTGCCTGCCCCCCCTTCTTCCCCCTTCCAATCCCTGACGCCGCCAGTTTGTTAAATTAATGCAGTAAGAAAGTCTGAAGATCTGAAGGAGTCCTGGCACAAGGAAGATGGGCAAGCTCAGAAAACCAAGATGCATCTGAAGCCTAAGGTTCCTGAGCCCCGAGGAGTCGCCATGGACCCTGGCAGCCCCTGAAACTTGCCCTGAGCTCCCTCACATCTGCAGCCCCGAGCAATGGGACACCTTTCCTGCAGTGATCATAACTTATTCGTCTGGGGCCAGAGAACAGGAATCGCAAGGCGACAGCAGACGGACACGCAGGCAGGGGAACGAGATTCCGGGACTCGGTCACGATGCGCCAGCCTGGCACAATCTCTGGGATTTAACTGAAGGCAGCACCGTCAATCGCTTCCCCTCGCCCCTAACCCCCTCAGCATTAAGCCCTACTCTCTGCCCAAGATGCTTGCTCCATCTAACCGTCCGCGGCCAGCGCTCTGATCTCCACAGAAGGTATTTTTTTTCTTGCATGAAGCTGGCCATTTGAGCAGAAAAACGGGTAAAAAAGAAAATATACCCACCCCAAACGTGCCTCCCCAGCGCCGCAGGGAGCCAACAGACACGCTGGAGTTTAACGAGCAGCAATACTCTTCGCGCTCTCATAAATCAGGGCTGGACGCTCTCCGTGGTGCTGAAGCGCTTCGCCGCGGCGGCGGCGGCGGCGGCGGCTGTCCGTGGTACCTACAGCCCCCTCGCTCCAATTTCCCCTGGGGCTTTCCCTCCGTGCCCGTTTCCCACCTCCCCTCGGCACCCGGATTATTTTTTCAATAGCGCTCGCTGGTTTTGTAAGTACCAATTTGAAACATTTTTTGGCCCCATAACGCGTGGACTACAAAGCATAAGGACCTGAAAATGTACAGCTTCAATACTCTTCGACTCTACCTTTGGGAGACCATTGTATTCTTCAGGTATGCAATTTTCTACTGACCACATCGCTCAGATGAAAATGGGGGAAAGGAGCACGGAGACTGACTCTGTCTGTGATCCCCTTATTTGGGGGGAGGAGGGAGGGAGGGGATGCCGTACCCGTTGCAATGGGGTTCTTCCATGCGCCGCTACCCCCACCTCCCCACCCCGCCCGCAGGGTGTCTGGCTTGTGCGTGGTTAGGTCTGAGACAGCCGTTGCTCTGGCAGCTGTTTACCTGTTCCTTGTGATTTGTTTGTCCTCCCGCCTGCTACACCCCCACCCCTTCACTGGCCCCCCTGACTCCCTGCATTTGGCTCTCACTCAGCTGGGGACTTTTAAGGGGAAGCTTTAGGAGTTACTCAGTTTAATTAGGACTGCATTCTCTCTAACCGCAGTGCCGAAAATCTCAGTTCTCCTGTCTGGGGGAACCAAGTGACAACTAGTGGTGACGGGGGAGGTTGCACTCGAACTCACTGGACACAGAAAATTTCATTCTCTCTCTCTCTCTCTCTCTCTCTCTCTCTCTCTCTCTCTCTCTCTCTCTCTCTCTCTCTTCCATTTTCTGCGGGGTGTGGGTGAATGTTACTAAGGCTTCGTGCTTGGAAAAAATAGTGTTACGACCTCAGGTTGTAAAGCCCTAAACTTGGGTGTACAGTGGATTGATTTAGAATCAGATCCTGGGAAACATTTTCCTTTCGAAACTTTGACTCCCTCTTCTCCCCCACTCATCTTTCCAAACTCTACTTTGTTAGCTGAAGATCCTGGCCTGATTAGCAATTCCTATCTGTGTTTTGTTTTTTTTAATTTATATCTACTCCTGACTGAATAGCTGAGTTCCCCTACTCATTGTCTCCCAGGTTAAAATTTTTTGCCTACAGGCTTAGCATTCTTATGTTAATACAAGCAAAAAGTGAAAAATCGCCTTTTCAGGAAGCAGTGAAATAGATAGTCCTTTTGAGAGTGAGTGAATCCATGCCATCTTCAGAGATGGTTATGATAAATTCCATTTACATGAATTGAAAAAAATTATTCTTCTTCCATGTCCTGCAGGGATCATTAATCTTCCTCATTTTAGATGCCTGCCTCTCATGTCTTACCATGGCATTAGGTTAACAGTAATTTGAAAAACCTACTCTAGTTTCCTTTTTAAAATAAGTAACCATCAAATATTATTCTCTCTTACCATAAATCAGCAAGTAATTCTTGGGGTGTTTTTTGTTTTGTTTTATTACATTTTAGAGAGCTCTGCATATGAATTGTTGGTTTGACTAATCTGTCGGGTGCTTTATTATTTAACAAATTCATTTGAATGACACCTCCCCCTATATTTTAAGAATCTATATGTAAGCCTCTCTTCATGTCTTTCTCTTGAGATGAAAAGAAAACCCTTCTCCTTCTCTGAGCTACCCAATGCTAAAGCTTCTAATCCCTGGTTCAAATCATTCTTTGATAGGCCACAGTCCTGCCCACAGCTCAGAATGCAAATAGTCAGAGAGTCAGATAGAATTTTAAAAGTGCAACAATCGAGGGCCCTGTGAAATGCAGCTACTTTATGGGGGAAAGAGCAGAAAGTATCCTCTTAATTTAACAATATCAAATCCTTTCTCCCCTATATACATAGTAGAACTGTAAAATGCTATGGAGGTGAAGTACTTGGTCACATTTGTATGCAAATTGATTCTCTGTTTTGCTTAAGAAGACAGAACTGAACCAGAAAGATTAAAGAGCAAATTAATAAAACCAAGCACATCACCCACCCCCAACTCTTTTTTCTTGGTGAACAGTATGTATGGTTGATTTTATTCTTCCAGACATTGTCTTTCACAAAAGGAAAACACAGTTTAAAAGGTTTGCATTGTAATTGTTTGATAACGTTGTGAATGAGCCATGTTAAGACTTTAAGTGATGGTGGCCTATCAGGAAGCATCACTCTACATCTCCTTCCCTGCATGTGTCAAGACATACATGAGCTACCATGGGTATGGGATATAACTCCATGTGTTTATAAGGAAAGAAGAGTCATGACTGAAGGGCTAGAAAGGGATTTGTACCATTGTACTTTCAAAATACAGAAATGGCAACATTGAGGAGTCATTATTGCTTCAGAAATGTCCTGAGACATAAAATAATAAAAATGGGAACTGAACTAGGAAAATTCCCCCAGCAATTTTTCAGAGAGGTGCGGGGGGAGAGGAGAGGAGGGAGTTACAAGGAGGAAAAGTATTATCTTTGTCTAATTGGCATTTTCATTTCTAACTCCCTCATTTTCTAAATTTTAGGTGAAAATAAGGAAGCATTAAAATCTGGGGGTTCGATAGAATGCATGTGGGGGTAAATGGAGACTGGCAGCTCCCTAGAAGGTTCCATGTGAATAATCCCTTCTCCCCCCAAAGGACAGGCACTGTGTTAAATAAGACAATCCAATAATCTCAGGCGCCCAAGTACTCCTTATATTGAGTGATGCCAGCTGCTCACCTTGTAGGGGAATCTGGGGGCTAGAGAAGGAAAGACCCTGGATAACAGAAATGCTGCTGCATCAGCACATAACCAGCGAAATAGCAATAATGACAGCAAAACCAACAAAACAACAATCAGAGTGCATAAGGCAGAAATCTCCTCAAGTGCCAACACAGAGAACAATCGAGGCCTTGGAAGGAGTTGAGGGGGAGAGAGACTAGGGTCCTAGGAGACAAGCAGGCAGCACTGCGGTGCTCATCAGCTGTGTCCCCATTACTAAAATGAGGTGATTTGGCTGAAGTTCCTGCTCTGATATTTGAAAAGCCTGTGGGTCTAAAATTCCAGAAGTGCCATTCTAGGATGCAATAACCAAAATTTTGTCTCTTTATTTTTATCAATGGGAATGGGGCTTTGCATCCAGAAAATGTGTTGTTTTATAGTAGAAATTCATTCCTTTTGAGTCAACGGAACTGGCTTTGACTCCCAGAACCCTTACAGTGGCTTATGGGTGGGAAGGTACAGGGACAACCCCACAATTTTCTCACCTACTCAAATAGACCCCAAGGTAAATAACCATATCTCGCAATCTTAGCATTGTTGGCATTTTTGAACTGGATAATTCTTTGTTATGAGGGCTGTCTGGTGCATCGTAAGATGTTCAGCAGCTTCCTTAGCATCATAGCACCTCCTCCCCAGCCTTGACCATCAAAAAGCTCTCCAGATACTGCCAAAAATCCAGGGGTGGGAACCAACTTGGCTGCAGTTGAAGACCACTGGTATACAGTGACAACTGTTTAATCTGTTGCTCTAATGTACTAATTAGAATAAGGAAGGAAGAAAATACCCCTCATGAAACACTTAAAGCATCGCAGTGAAGCAAAGAGAGTCCTAGCTTGTGCTTGAGAAGGGAATAAAGGAAGAGGAGATAAACCAAGTCTAAGCCATGGGTGGCTTCCCCAAATGATGACAGCTCTTCTTTATGTGCCAATTCCACCTGCCATCCCAGCAAATGCTTCCTTGCACAGGACTGAATACGGCGCTCATTGGCTAAGAAAGGTCACCAAAACCTTGAAGGGAAGATGTTTCTAGCACACTGGGATTAAAAGAAACATGGCAAATAGATTTTTGCTCAGATCTCGGTGCTGGAAAACCACCCAGTTGAAAGATAAAAGAGCTTCTGCTGGGACCGGTTTGGCTCAGTGGATAGAGCGTTGGCCTACGGACTGAAAGGTCCCGGGTTCGATTCCGGGCAAGGGCATGTACCTTGGTTGCGGGCACATCCCCAGTGGGGGGTGTGCAGGAAGCAGCTGATCGATGATTCTCTCTCATCGATGTTTCTAACTCCCTCTTCCTCTCTGTGAAAAATCAATAAAATATATTTTTTTTAAAGAAAGATAAATGAGCTTCCCATCAAAGTGGCCCCTCTGGCTTCCTGATCTCGGAGCTTGCCAAGGGGGAAGAGGACCACCTGGGTCTTTCCCTCCGGGTAGCACAGTGGGAGCCTCCTGAAATCTCATCCGCAGCAGTGGGGGCACTGCAGAGAGTGCCTAGGAGCTCCTAAAATGGGTCAAGGACTTTTGCCTAAGCCCCTGGGGCAAGTTTGCAGTAGGGCCCATCAAAATGTCACTCTACCCCCTTTTGGGGGCTTAGGAACCATGAGAAAGAGAAAACATCATGTCTTAAGTCCCCGTGGGACTTGGCCCCACTACCAGTGGGACCCTAGATTGGTAAGTGGAGTTATGGATCGGCACACATGCGCAATAGTGCACATCCCCCCACCTTGTTCATGTCTGTTGTCTGTAAAGCCCATGTGACCTTTCAGGGGGCCTTCAGGGAATTCATTGTGGAGACCACCTTGTGAAGGAGGTTGCATCCATGGGGTACAATGGGAAGAGCAGATAGGCTATGATTTGCGAGACCCCTCCCACCCCCAGAGCCAGTTCTGTTCCCAGCCTGCAGCATGGCTTTGACAAGTCTCTTTTCCTTGCGGGGACTCTCATTTTCTTACCAAATGACTGACTTCGACACCTCTCAGTTCCCTGCAGCCTCATCTCAGGTCTTTATGAGACAGAGGCCGTGCCCACACAGGCTCAGTTTGAATCTGCCTCAGTGCTCACACTGCCTTCATTTCTTGACCAGGCACTTATTTATCATGTGCTCATGTGTCCAGTCTGAAACTAGGCACTCTGCAGGGGAGACAGAGGTAGCAGATGTCGCAGCCCCTGTCCCTGCAGGAAGGGGAGACACTGCTCCCTGTAAGGCTACATCAAAGCCCTACCTCCTTCTCCAGAGGACCGGCAGAGCTCCCCTCCCGCAGCCTGCGCACGTCCTGCGACAGCGCATTCATGTGGGCATCATTAACTTTATTTCCTTCATCAGCTGACAGGAGCCAGAATGATTTTTAAGATGGATGGCATTGTCTCCCGCCTGGCCATCTTGACACTATTCCTGCAGGTTTTCTGCTGCTTTGGCAAAGCGGCCTTGGCCCAAAGGGAGGAGACCTGGAATCCAGAATTTAGCTAGTGACATGACCTTGGGAGGGTC